CGATACATCGATGTTTCGATGCATCGGAGAAAAGAACATCGAGGCTAAAATACATCGCTAGAGAAACATCGATATATCGATGGTTCCCGATGTTTTGCAATTTGTTAATTTCTAATTAAATTTAAAGCAATATTGAATACTTTAATAATTATGAATGTATTTTCCTATATTTTATTATCTTTTCTATACCCTTTCTATTATAAGAATCAAAATGCATACCATCGTAAGGTCGTCCGGGCCTAAAGATCCTAGGCCTGATCTTGTTGAAATTCTAAGGGGTGTTTGGTTCCTTTTTCAACGGCTATACTATTAGCATACAGAATGAATCCAACAATTTTGTTGAACTTGGGGCCATTTTTTATGAAAAATGTTGTGGAAAAGCAACAATAATTTACAAAGCTAAGAAGTTATAGCTGCTGTTTGGGAGATCACCACATCTACTAATCAGACTTCTTCAACCGCGATTTATGTGGTGAACACCGAAATAGCAGCTATAACTTCTACCTTTTGTAAATTATTGTTGATTTTCAATTACATTTTTCATAAGAAACGGCCTCATGCTCAATAAAATTGCTGAATATAATTGGCATAAGGCCATAAATAACAAAAAAATTCTGAATGGATGATAAATTTAAGGTCAGTCAAACATACCGAAAGAAAGTCGGAGAGTCTCCTTAAAGTCGATGTTTAAAACATCGGTAAAACTTCCATCGATGTATCGTAAATTTCGCGATGTTAGTAAATTGTAAACATCGATGGCAAACATCGAAAATTGAACCGATATTATCGATGTTTTAAAAACATCGATGCATCGTTTGCATCCCTAGTGGTGGGTCCTTTGGCAATTTATTTTCTGCTTGGTGCATTTTCCCCGAATTTGCATTTTATACAATTGCATACTTTTGGCATCGAAAAACCTTTTTAAAATACGAATTAATTATATCGGAATGAACGAAATATTTTTCTCAAAATTATTCGTGATACCACAAAAATAAGAGAATATCCTCCAAGCACCCATCCTTGATCCAAAAAAAAGTTAGTAGATATATCTACAAATGTACATTTAAAATTATAAAATTCTAATTTCAACAATCAACCTACCAAAACTGACAAATTCGGCCAACAAAATTTCAGCTTGCTGCTGTCTATTTTGGTATATTTAAAGGACAATTATGGTACACACGAAAAATGACAAACGGCAACCATAGTCAGCATACACTAAAGTAAACAAACTGGAGATTAATAGTAAGTTAACTAAAAATAAACTCAACAAACCTTGGGCTTAATAACTTTACTATCTGTTTCGTTGTTTACTAACATTAAATAAAATTAGTAAAATTTGCCATAAATAATTCAAAAAGGTCATATTTTCTTTTGTTTATTTAAAAACATATCGAGCCCTAACCGCCAAAATAACGTAAGCGACATTTTTTTCAAAATTTTCTTTTTGATGCAGAAATATTCCTAGAGCATCTAGATGCATTTCTGCATAAAAAATAAAATTTTGAAAAAAATGTCGCTTACGTTATTTTGGCGGTTAGGGCTCGATATGTTTGTGATCAGCTGAGTTTCTTACTTGCAAGTTTCGCAAGTAAATACAATTTGTCTGCTATGTGCCTGCTTGCCTATGGTGCAATTAAAGTAATTTCCGCTCTCAGGACTTCATGCGCCGACTAACGCCAACCCTAAAATTTTGAATAGATTAATAACTGCAGAGATGGAAGTTGCTTGCGGATATTTCCAAGAGTGACTTCATAAAGCGTAAAATGTACTTCAGAAAGCGTCAAATGTACTTCAGAAACGGTAAAATGTACTTCAGAATAGTCAGTTGTAAAATGAACTGACTATTCTGAAGTACATTTTACGCTTTCTGAAGTCACTCTTGGAAATATCCGCAAGCAACTTTCATCTCTGCAGTTATTAATCTATTCAAAATTTTAGGGTTGGCGTTAGTCGGCTCATGAAGTCCTGAGAGCGGAAATTACTTTAATTGCACCATAGGCAAGCAGGCACATAGCAGACAAATTGTATTTACTCCAATGCAAAAACCCAATTACAATTTTTATTGAATATCCAATTTTCTCCCCATACTGCAACGAGTTAGCTATAACGCAGGAACTGCAACTGAATACATACATACATATGCATATGTACATAAGTACTCCACCATTCCAATGCATCCACTTCGTTACTACATCCACATTCGCGCTGTGCCAGTAGACTTCAAATTTGGACAGAGAACGTTAAGTTGCCAACAACAACAAAAATGTATACCCGGGTGCATACTTACAGCTGTGTTCAAAAAAATAATAGTGCCGCTGGATCATTCCCATCAAACAAGAAACTCAAGTGGTACACATAAAGGATGTATATAAAAAGCTTAAAAAAGTAGCTTCTAGATATTTCCAGAATATTTAAAGTTGCATACGTATATTGAAAATATTGGTTTGTTCAAAATAATAGTATTGGTTACCTTAACGAAGTTAAAACTAAAGATACAGCTAATATTTTACACTATTTTTTTGGTTTATTTGTGTCTGATATCTTGTATTCAATATATTTCACTTTAATTTGGATAATTTTTTGATGTTACAAAGGGCCGCTAAGATCCTGATAGCGCCTAATACGGATTTAAGCCCATTGCTATTTCAGAATTGGTTAGATAATTGTTTTTTTTCCCCCCCGCAGACTTTCTATCCTCTTAAGGCCCACATATACAATTTTTCTTTGTCTTATACCGATCATTTTGAACGCCCAAAGCTTTTTTTTGGTATTTATTAGGTCGTTAATCTATTAGGGACCTTTTTTTTGGTATTTTCCAATATTCATGTAGTACTAACATGATTTTATACAAAATAAAAGTACATTTTTTATCTATAATTGACCTTGATCATAAGGACAGGACAAATACCAAAGTACGGAAAACATGGCAATACCGTAGTGCTCTACCCAGCACATTTCACTTTGTCTCAAACTGCACCTTAGGCGGTTTTCTGTATTTTGTTGACTACGAATGAACAATCTGGAAGAAGACCTATCCAGTTTGAGGTTATTAGTTAGTACTAAGACTCGATACTCTTAGTTTGACTAATTCATTAAGCTCTTTAGAACGTTCTATTCATACCATCTTGAATCGTGAAATATGATGTCATTATGAAGAATTTTCCCTTCAATTATTAATCGACCACATAGGTCTACAATATTATTTGAAAGATTTAGCTCATTCGTAATCACAAAGTGGCCTATTCAGACGGTCGCTTAGAATGTTGTTTTGCACAAGTTTATTGTTTTTTTTTTCAGTTATTAATAGATGTAGAATAATGAGAATTGTGTATCCAACTATTTTTTCTGAGGTGCATTGCAAATTTTGTCTTGATTTCTTGGTATTATTACCACTTCTCGCTTATCGATAGAGAGATGCGTTTATTTTCCCAATTGCAAAAGAGGATACTGTATTTTTGAAAATTTTACATTGAAAAATTGTCAGATAAATTTAAAAACATCTAATTATAGAGACATTTTTATTTCCTTAAAATGTTAGGGCTTTTCAGCTTAAGCACTACAAGGTATTTTTTGAACAGCTGGTTTTTGGTGCATATAGGCAAATGCCTCATAAAATGTCACATTAAAACAAAACTGTCGCTTTCCTTTTTACTTTTCGGTTTGTTATTTTCTAACTTAAAACATTTTATCACAGCTCTTCAAGTTGCAAAGCAGAACATGTCTAAAAATAACTTTTATCATTCTGCGCCGTCCCGCTTTTATTTTTTTGAACACAACTGTATGTACCTAAATATATATATGTATGTATGTATGTAAATTTATATACGTTGATATTATTTCACCCTGGAACAAGCCTGCATGGCAAGTAGCACAAAAGCAGAAGAGACCGGCAATAACAACAACCGGCCACGGCAACCAATAACACATGCTGTCGCCCTTCCATTCAGCCATTTTAGTTGCTTCTCGAATAATCTATAAATTTGTATACATATTGTTCATTAATAAAAGCAACTTTAGAATTTTGTTGTGATATCAACAATATTGTTGTCTGTCTGAATATGTGTCCTCATCAGCATTCTTCAAAAGCTATATGAAAACTTACTAGCAATGCTGATGTTCAGAAAATAGCGAAGATTTGTGTTTGGCTCTTAAAATTTTTCTAATGTGTAAATATGGACCATCTCCTAGATAGTTTTCGGCGAGAAAATAGATTTTCCATTCCATTTTGGACAAAAATAGCATTCCATCAGCACAGCGCGATAACAACAAGAGCACACAAACGTGGAATATTCTAGTTATGGCTGCATTTCTTTATTCATTCTGAACGTTTGGAATAAACTTTTTTGTTTACTTATTCTTTAGAACGTTCCTGATGATATGTTAACGTATATTTCAAACACATTCTGTTTATTCCGGCTGTGAAATGGGATTATCCGGAATGTATAAAGAAACGCAGCCTATATGTACGAATGCTAGTGGTTATTTAGGGAAGCATCAAACGAAAGTACATTATAAAACACATAATAATAAATTAATTAAAGTAGAAGCTATGTATGTATGTATGTATGTAGCTTGCCTCTTTTAACCGAAAAGTCCGAAAGAAATCTTCTCTGATACCGTACAGGTTTTCTTGATAATTGTCGCCGTGTTCCAAACGGCTAAGCTTGTGAAGGCAAGTTTATCAGTTAAAATAACACGTACACAGTCGAATAGACATCTGCGACTTAATTTTGGCTAACGGCACCTAGTAAGGTTTTTGTTTGGCAATTTTTTTTCACGTCAAATTACTTGCGTTTTATTCCAGTTTTTTACAATAGCTTTTGCATTGTTCTTTCAAAATTTTCTGCAATTTGCCATTCCCATAGATTGAAAAAAATTTTATTCCAATTGGATTCTTTCTGTGCATGCAGTTTCTTTTCTGATCAAGTATTTTAAGCTTTTTTCACATGAATTTTTTCATACCAAGTTTTTGTCTACAAGTTTATTTTTTTACTTACTTTTTGACAATCAAGTTGGTGGTAGGAATACGAAAGAGCAATGAGCGGAAAACAGCACACTTTATCAGAAACGCAATTTTTCTTTATTAACGTCTACCACTTTTCCCACAACTTTGTGGTCTTCTTGCGAATCAGACACAGATTGGCTTCGCTGCCGATGCTCTTGCACATCAAAATTAACAACTTTTCCCCGCACTTTTGTATATTTTTATTCTAATTCTCAATTATAATGAGCACATAGATCCAGAACCACCAAATTAAATAATCCAAAAATTGGAAATTACTGCAGGTTTCAACCGTTCACCTAAATACACGAACTACTCAGCTTGTGGCAAAACAACCGTTTGTCGCAGAAGAAATTTCGACGAAGCAATTTTTGTTTTGGTTTCGTGATTATTCCATTTATCACTAAAGATGTGCAGAGTCGATACTTTTATGTATTGGTCGATACTCGGTACCGATTTAAAAAGTATACAATACATTCGTTACTCGTTGCCGAAATGTTAAAGGTGGCCTTACAGGATATGTATTTGCATTTCGTCGCCTGGGTAAAAGATTGTCGTATGTTAATTTCAGTAGGTTGTGGGGTACTGTTTATGAATTTGTACAAGGATTTTGGGTTGCTGTGCCCAAACGCGTGAATCGAATCAAATCACAGAAAGGAGAATTCTACGTAGTAAGGGTTATAATCCCTAATCGCGGCCGAAGGCCGCCTACGCAGAAAGGTGTTCTCTGCAAAAGGTGTACAGCCCCCCTTCTTCGGACGCAAGTTTAACTTTGTTTTTTCCTTGCAAAAAAGCTAAAATTCCCCTATTTTCAAACAGCTCCCCAGAGGTCTGTGGGAGAGGTTGGGGGGAGGGGTGGTTTTTAGTAAAGCGGCGTCAATCCTCTTTCCTTGCTACACACGACGAACATATCCGCGCACATGCGCGGCTTGCGGGTCATGTTCGTCGTTTGTAGGGTGGTTTGCGAGCATGCTCGTCGTTTGTAGCGTGGTTTGCGAGCATCGCATTGGAAACAAAAACAACAACCTCATTTTGTGTTGATGCTTGAAGTGTGCACATCGGCGGATAAATGCATCCAGGCCATGTTATTTAATTGAAGTTTTGATAAATGAGGCTAAATTACTATAAGTATATGTATGTACGTACATACAAGTAAAATATAAATAAATTTAAGCAACACATACATAAAAAAGTTAAGTTAAAAGCATTGCAATTGCATCATCCGCGTCTTCCCTTTCCATGTTTACGCTTTGAGTACAAAATCACTTATGAGCCGCTCGCCGTCTGTGTCTGTAGCAAACGACAGCGAGCATGTTGGCGCATATGTGCGCGCAGATGTTCTTCGTGTGTAGCCAGTCTTAAGAGCGAAATACACCACACAAGCGGTTTGACAAACCAAGCGAAATTTCCCTTTGCTTCAAGCCATTTGTGCTGTGTATGGGGGTGTTTGAAGGTTTGACGGCGGTTTGTCAAACCTTCAAACACCCCCATACACAGCACAAATGGCTTGAAGCAAAGGGAAATTTCGCTTGGTTTGTCAAACCGCTTGTGTGGTGTATTTCGCTCTTAAGGGAGCCGATTTTGTCAAGAGGGAGCGAGAAAACTGTTTTTTGAGCAAACCTTTTTTTATTGAATCATGTAATATGACTGCATCACTAAATAAATTCTTACTAAATTATCGAAAAAATTGTAGTCAATATCTCGGAAACTAAAGGATATATCTAAAAACTGTAAACACCAATCGAAAGACCTTAATTCAAAATATGTAACTGCATCTAGAACTAAAACGACGATTTGTAAAAATTTCCCTTTTTCAATTCATATGTAATTATATCTGACTGTCTCATTACCCAACTTTCACCGATTTTCTGTACAAAACATCGTTATCAAGGCGAATTTATACAAGGTGGTGTTACTGACGAATTCGGATTTTCGCAGCGGTCCTTCTGAAAGTCAAAATAATGGCTGCGTTTCTTTATACTTTCCGGATAATCCCATTTCACAGCCGGAATAAACAGAATGCATTTGAAATATACGTCAACATATCATCAGGAACGTTCTAAAGAATAAATAAACAAAAAAGTTTATTCTAAACGTTCAGAATGAATAAAGAAATGCAGCCAATGTGTTTGTTTTAAACAAGGCGAACTCATATTATAACAAACACATAGTTTTGACATTCAGAAGGACCACGGCGAAAATCCAAATTCGGCAGTAACACCACCTTGTATAAATTCACCTTGAACGTATTTTCACAAAAATTAAAAATCTGAAAAAAATTGGCATTCCTCAGATCCTGTCTCCACAGGAAAACACNCCAGCTCACTGTTAGCACCTAGTGCCTAAATGTATGCTACAGCTTCAGCGTAAACGTTAAAAATCAAAATATGTGGAACTTTTGGCATTTTGCATATTTCTAGCGCTTTTTGTAAGGCCCTGTCTCCACAGGAAAACACTGATGCCGTGATAACCATGTCACAAAATATATTTCCAATGGAGACCGCCAATTTCTCATGGGCTGCAATATATGTTAGCGCTTATTGCTTGACTTCTATTGCAGGCAATTCGATAGTTAAAGCCCTGTCTCCACAGGAAAACACTGATGTCGTGAAAACTATGTCACAAAATATATTTCCAATGGAGACCGCCTATTTCTCATGCGCTGCAATATATGTCAGCGCTTATTGCTTGACATCTATTGCAGGCAATTCGATAGTTTGACAGCCATATTTTCATTTGAAAGAAAGCGTGCTGGTGGTAACATCGATGAAATTTTTATATTAAATCAAAATAAAAGTCTGTTTCTTATTGGATTATTTATGATTACGTTTTAGGAAATTATTCAGCAAAGTTTTTTAAAGATTTAAATGTTTTTAAACACCGAAATTGAGAGAATGTTGTCTGGTGGCGTCATGCGGCAAATGCTTATTTCAAGACATCAAAGTGCCCACACACAAAAACTTGCAATCACATTGCTCGTCAAAATGACAGTTGGTAGGCCATCGGTGTTTGCCTGTGGAGTTCTGCGGTAACAGCCATATTTTCGTTTGAAAGAAAGCGTGCTGGTGGTAACATCGATAAAATTTTGATACTAAATCAAAATAAAAATCTATTCCCTATTGGATTATTTATAATTACGTTTTAGGAAATTATTCAGCAAGTTGAGAGAATGTTGTCTGGTGGTGTCATGCGGCAAATGCTTATTTCAAGACATCAATGTGCCCACACACAAAACTTGCAATCATATTGCTCGTCAAAATGACGGTTGGTAGGCCATCGGTGTTAGCCTGTGGAGTTTTGTGGTAAAGAAAACGAACCGGTGAGCTAGAGGAAAAAAAAATGGACGTAGACCGTCCCTTTTTCCTGAGTTGAATAGTAACTTAACTTAGAATTTAAAGTTCTGAACGACGACCTACGGGCCACAGCTTCCAATTTGTTATCTTCGTTATCTAAACGCTTTGTCGATGGCGACAGGATTTTTTTGAACGCGGCAGCGACATCATGAATTTTTAAAGCTAGCCTAATATTCGTGGCTTGCGGTTTGGTACGCACGCAGTCGAATTTGTTTTTTTTTCGTCACTCGAAATTGGCTTGCGTGCGTTTGCATTTGATTTCATTGAGCGAAATGTCAAATCAAAATGTCACGCAGAACAAAAATTTGGAAATCGAGCTAGTTTCTTACGCACGCCGTTCAATTTCGGTTGGTCCCACACAAGTTGTATGTGCATGAGAAATTTTTGACAGTAAATTATCGGCGTGCGTGAATATTAGGGTAGCCTGTTATGCAGTTCACGGTTACATAAAAATACAGCTCTGGTATTATTTTCACATTGGTGAATATACATTGTGTATTCGTGTCACCATGGTGAATATATATTTGTGTTTATTTTTCTTCTGGTTACGCGAAACAGGCAGTAATTTTTATTGAATTTCTTCAAGTGTTTGCACATTTTATGTTTTTGTTTTATAATTCCAGGAATTTTATATGTCATCATGAACAAGATTGTCCAAGGAGCAACTGAATCATGTTTGAATACTTTTAAAACATATTGGCGATATGCTGTTTTCCTGCTGGATGCCCGCAATTTCATTTGCTAAATGTGTACGAAATTTGTTTTGAGTGCTTTTAAAAGTAAATTCGATTAACTACTTTTTTGTAATTATGTATTCCAGATATGCAACGCACACTGCCACTCTAAGGATTTTCATTATTGAGCAATTATGTAGCAAAAACGCAGGGGAACCAACCATACAAGATTTCGGATTGCTCTTTGGGTGCAATGGCTACCGAAGTTTTCGCAACACAAAATAACACGCTATCAGTGTACATACGTGTATCGAATATAATTTGACGAAGACTCAAACAATGGCATCTTCAGCCAACATGACAGAACTCTGTTGGTCGGCCATCCACGTCGCTGTGAGCCAAAGAAATTATGTGATTCAGGAGACGGGTTCCAACTTTCGCTATCGCTAAAATGCTTAAGTTAACATATTCGAATTTTTGGCGATCTCCAAAAATCGCGATTCTGTCTTCCCTGCCCGCTAAAAATTGCCTAGCCTAAATTTGAGTATTTTATCCAGCCGTAAGTCGCGCTGTGCAGCAACAACAGCTGTCAAAATTGGTTTCCAGAGCAATGGAGATAAATAATGGAAATATAAATAAGTAATATTTGCGAAGAAGATTAACGAATAGCCTTCGCAAAAAAACGCAAATCAACAAGATAATTTAAAGATTATTTCATAACATTTGTGGAACTGTTTACGCTCACAAAAGAGCTTTGTAACAATCAGCCTTATTCTTAAAATTGAAAATTGAGGCTGAACGCCTTTGAGGAGATCCATATCAATATCATAGAATAGCAGAGCGACTACTCAAAATTTTCCGAATTTTTTTCGGGATATTTTGCTCGTAATGAATAAAGCTTTGTATATACATACGTTTATTTTTTGTATAAAATTAGTTGCAAGAAAATCCATATTCCTTTCAGGAAGTTACTAACTAAAATATAATTGGTATTTTCGTCAAACATTTACTAAATCATTATGAAAACCATTCATTTCCGTGCGTGAAATTCAAAACGACTTCTTCCAAATAACCGATGCAAGAATGGAGATTTAATTTATTAGGCGTCTTTTAGTAGCTTTTTGCGAAAAGAATTTTAACAAAATATTGCTGATTTTAGTTAAATAAATCATTTATTTCAAAGAAATTTTTATATATTTTGGAGATATATCTAATTTGTTGGCGAAGTTAGTGATGTTCCGATATCGGTACTTAGAAGTATATACTCGAGTACCGAGTATTTTAGTACTTCGATATGCGTATACAACTACTTCATGGGTATCGAGTACAAAGTGCAAATATTTACTTGTTTGCTAAATTTGGGAAAATTCACTGAAAATAGATCTGTGTTGCAGTTTTTGAAAAAAAAAAACGATTCAAGATGTGAACCACTCGATTTTGGAAGTGGAGAGCGAAAATCGTATCGAATTAGAGAGGATGTTGAGGCATTCTATGATTTGCGGAACCGTTGTCTATATATCGTTTCGAAACCGAAGAATCAAATACAAGAAAACAATAAGCTTTCTCATTCTTAACATCTCTTATTTCTGCACTTCCAAGTAACCCCATTTCAAAATAGAAGGATATGAAAAGGCATTTTTCCGCTCTTCATAAACCTTTCTCCAACGTATGTGGTTATATTGTAAGTGGGTATTGAATTAAAATTTCTTTTGTGAGTACTTTCCAGGACAAGTAGAATCGAGTATTTCCTAGCGATACTTTAAGTAGCATCGAGTATTCTCTTCGATACTTGCATCGAGTACATGGTGGTATCGGACGAACACTAGACGAAGTGAAGGCTTCTAAGGTGAAGTGAAAAACTTCAATTCAAGTGACAGCGGCAGTACTGCCTTGTATAAATACCCCTTGATTTGCAACATGATTCAATAATACAAGGTTAGATAATTATTGACAGCTGCGGTTTGACACTCCCTTACAAAAGGTTGCATTTACGAAGGACAGAGAAAGGGCAAGAATGCAATCCCTTGTTTCGAAAATGGTAGTAGAAAAGTACGCAAAGTAGGCAATTAGTAGTGAAATTCCTTTCGTAAATTCTAATGTATTTGCAGGAAAACTGGCATTTTAAACGAAATGTTGAACGTAATATTGATATATATACGTGAATTACGTAATTTATANCATATTTATCAGTGTTGCCATAAATAAGTCACGATATATAAGAATTAAAAGTAAGGCTATCCACATACTAGTCAACAAATTTGTCCTGCAAGTAATTTTTTTGTGAAACGGCAGTTATGCTACTGAAGAATATATTGTACATTTTCTTGGACCCCTCGGGAAAATGTTTTAAATCAAGTTAGTTTAATTTTACCATTTTTTATGATGAAATGCTTGTTAGATTCACAAGTTATGTGATTTTCTTAGTGATCTTAATTGATTTTCACGTATTTTTTATACAATAAATTACCATCACTTGCATGGCACTGGAATTTCATAAAATGGTCTATTTTTAAATGAAATTCGAAAAATATTTTTGGAACGTATTCGATTTTGAAATTTACGTAAACTATTGAGGACAGCCCAAAACTTCATAAAGTTTAATAGGTTTTCAAAAACATTAACAAAGTTTTTAGTAGCATGCTTCCAATGTTACAAAAATTTTATGTAGGTACAATATGTTGTACAAATGTACGGAAAGGGTTAACAAAATTCAGGGACTAAAAATAAAATAATAAATAATATTTTACAATTTTTGACACCAAAAAGTAAAGTCCGACCGATTAATCGGCATCGGCATCGGCCGTTTTTGGCCCATTCTTAGCCGATTCTTTTTACTTTTTCCGTAATTTTAACAAATTTTCATACAAAATTTGAAGCTGTTTAATCAGACTTTTTAGAACTTTTTTGAGTACGCAGTTTTTTAAATTTTAGTTTAATAAGGTGCAAGTCTAAAGTAGCTAGGTAAGTGTTGATTTTTGACAATTTTTTGTTCATGCATTTTCTTCCAAACAAGGTATGTTCGAAAATTTTTTTGTATGGAGAAAATCCGCATTTCCAAAAATCAATAGTACATCCTAGTTACTTAAAATTTGGATTACTCGATTTTCAAAATTATAAAACCTGCAGCGTAGGTCGTATTAAAAAAAAATAGGTGTCAGATGAAAGTGCTGGGCCTCTTGATGTTGCAGAAGGTTTAATTTTTTTGCTTAAAAAAATCACAAGATTTACACTGTTCGCGTTATTTTAGAAAATGCGGTGCCATATAAACAGAAAAATAAAAATCAGAAGTAATCGGTAGTATTTGCTCAAAATAATAAAAGTAAAAATATAACAAAATTTCTTTGCTTTTTATTATAAAACGCATAACCGGTACGGTCTCCGAAAAATTAGAAGATATACATATATGCTATTTTCCGACAGTGGCGCCGAAGATCCCTTCCTTGCCCACCTTGGCACTGAAAGCGCCAAGCACGATTTTTATACGTGTCGAGATCAGCGCTAATATTTATGTACGATCTAAGCGCTCATAGAAGAGATCCTTGGATGCGTCGTCCTTTGCTTCCATCGGGGCATTGGCACATATGAACGAGATGTTTAAGAATCTCGCTTTGATGCGGATTGTGGCTTATGTTAGTCCACTAGAGTGAACGCCGGCACTCGGCGACGGAGTCTCTCTCCCACCACAAAACCCAACACCGAATTTGCGCTCCTTTTCGTCACAGCTGCAGTAGACGTCGCAAGACTCCACGCTTACCTTCCTTGCCCCGTCCATCGCATTTCATGGATAGCGGTGACGTCAGCCTTTATTTTCCCTAGGACATCAACCAGCCGGGCAAAGGCACCTTCTCGATTAAGGGTTCGGATATTTCAGTTGCATACCCTCAAATCATAGTCCTTTCTACGTTTGCCATGATCGTCCTAAAAAAAGGGGTTATCATCATCGGGCAGGGTTTTAGTGTGGCGGGACCCAAAGCCAGCGCAGGCGGGGTTTTGCGCACTCCCACTTTAGCTAGCCTCCAAACGAGTGTTCGAGATCGCTACCCATAGGGTTCATGGATATAAATGTCCGGACGTAGTGCGCTGAGATTTGAACCGCCCTTCTGGCCACTCCCAGGTGAATGGCAGTCAAAAGCTTTGCAGTACTGGGAAATGTACAGAACATAGTGGTCAAAGGCGAATATCACAACTAAACCCTGATGTATTTTTTAAATTTATAGCTCTACATACCTGTATAGTAAACCAAATAGCCGGACCAGACGTTATTCAAAATAAAAAGAAGTGTGGTGAGGCATTTCACCACAATGGTTCCATCTCTCTTCTCGTAACCCACGTGCTTTGGCAGCCGTGCTGGAGGCAATGACGGCTCTTGCATTGTTTAATTTTTGCGTTAGTCATCTGCGAGTCGAACCCAATGAGCAGAGGGCCTTTTACGGCCTCCCAATAAGTTGGCCGGGCACATATCCCCGAACGTAGTTGGAAGGTTTTGATGCTGCGAGGACGTAGCAAGGGCAATTCTGCATAGACCGACCCTTGCATGACTTCTACTCTTGGTTTTAGACAGAGGTTTCGTGGCGCCCGAGGTCTGCATAGCTGATAGCTCCTTCTTTCGTCGCCGTTCTCGAGTGTTCGCCGCAAGATTGGAATTGGGCAATGTCACACCAGAACTCGCCACACTATGACTCGAAGAGCCATCGGGCCAGGTATAAGTGTGTGTCGCCACAGATTTTCTTCTCTTGCTGC